ATGTGTTCTTCAAATAACTACTTAAGCTTCCCGGTCCAGGTCCTTGTTTTCAGGTAATTTCCAGCTACCTATTTATAATGCTTCCTCGAAATGAGTGGTTGCCACCAGTTCTAATCCCATGTAGAGAGAGCGATTCCATGAGAAGCCACTACTACGTCATGTAAACTATTACTGGTCAAATAAAGAGTTAAAACCCCTTCATAATTTACATTTTTCGAAAGGAGACAAAAGCACACAGGAAGTAGCCTAGCACATCTACCTATCAGTGCTAATGATGGAGCTTCTCTTCCAGGCTTTTTCCTCTCTTCCACCCTGGAACAATGCAAAAACTAGAAGTAGAGTTGTAACACTGCCACTTAGAGTTACTTTAGTTTTATTTATGAACTGATCCAGCTTTTGCAGCACTGGTGCCTTGTTGTAGGGGGAGGGGGGAGGGCAGAGGTGCGGGAGATAACTCCCGCTGGATCCGCCTATGGTTGCTTTCAGATTCATTTCAGGCTTAATGGCCTAAATTTGAGGGCCGTCACAGTTAGTAGTTTTCACAGTGAACGGTTCATAAACGATAATGTATTCAGTTCTTGTTGACTTCTTGCAGGCGTCCAGGACAGCTTTAATGTTTTTAATTATAAAAATTCACTGAATAAATTTATACAGTGTTGTTAAGTGGAATATTTTGCAGCAGAATGCGAGAGGGCATCATTATATGTAATTGACGGTTATCGCTACGAGTCGCCTGATTTAATGAGGAAGGATGAGGGAAGCCAAGTGAAGTTTTGCGGTAGCCAGCTGTACTACACTGAGGAAGGCATGAAATCATATATGTCCACTGGCAATCGCCTTATCGTTAAGTGAGTCGTTTTGTTAATCTGATACTTAGAGGCCTTTGCTTATCGCATCAGTGCGCAAATTAATACCACGACCGTCATAGTGACAAGGTCCAGTCGTGGTGTTGAGCTAAGACGTATATGACTTAATGAACCGAAACGTTTTAACTCTTTCTTGCTTATTTTTCCCATACCAGCTTTCTTCCAATATCCATCAATACATAATTCGTTCCGTTTCTGCCCTGTTTAAAATTTTAATGTTACTTGTAAGCTACAATCATGCTACACTTAGCTAAAAAATAAAAGAGGATGACTGAACGGCTTGCGCACTTAAAGTTTAGATTCATCGAAAATTTTCCTCTGGATGGTTGCTGTTGTTGGAAAGGGCTACCAGTTGGGCTACGTCCAACTGCTTCCACCCTCTCACAGAGAATGTATGCAAAGGGAAGGAGGAGGTGCGACTTCCACTTTGATTCTTCTAAGTATTTTAAAAAAATATAAAAACTCCGGCGTAAAGCAGGAAAACAAAGGGTTGGCATTATAAGTGGAGAAGCGTAAAGTTCCCCGGATGATAGCACATGCCAACAGCAGCCACCTGCAGCAATGGCTGAAGATGGCTTTCTCTTTGGAGCGTTACTTGGAAGCAAGCTAATGGCGATTTCGGCTCTTTAAGTCCGGGGAATTTTTGATATTTTTTTAAAATTTGCTCAGAAACTCAACAAATTTGCTCGGAATATCTACATACAAATTATGTAGATATTCTGTTTTAGAGGCCAGTACTTTACCACTGATAACGAATGAGAATGAAGATTACATACCATGCTATACTACATTTTGTCTTCCGAAAGAAAGTGAGAAATTTGAAATCAGAATTCTTTTGCATGTCTTTTTCGTAGGGGAAGCAAGAAAATAGCGTTTTAACAAAGATTTTAACGGCTCCTCGTCCCGCGGATTCCTCAGGAGACAATGTGGTGATTGTTGATCACACCAGAGCCAGTTTTTCATTGCAGCTACTGGAAAATCACGATTATCCTGGCACTAAAGAGATTTCATTAATCGAAAAAGTCAATTCAAATAATGCGGGAATTGCAGATTCGTGACCAAGGATAGTCCCAGTCCGTCGCTGCTCGCGAAGTACGAGGACGAAGGCAAACCGATCGGTTTTCGCCTTGTGTGGACTGAAGTTGACGACCAGCTTTCCGATGGACAAGTCTGTCCGGTACATTTTTGCTTACTAATTATGATATACGTCTAGAGGAGAATGCTACCTCTTTTTTTAAAAAAACTCCTAACTCTTTCTTTACTTTTCTTTAATTCCTTCTCCTCACATACCTCAGGCTGACTTCATTATGATTTTTGATTTTTAAGGTAGAATTCTACCTCATTTTTTCCGGTAATTTTGAGCAATTATGCCATCAAATATGATAAAAACAATCATTGTAAAAGCACTCGGAAATGCTCAAAAACGACTGAAAACTGCCAATAGCACCACTTATTAACATATCTCTGTCTCTCTCTTTTCCAGTAGTTGCTTATGAAGTAGGACTGGAGGCGGTTTTGTCTTCCCGGCATGCACCAGTACCAGTTTTCTATTAAAATGGATTACAAAGAGATTGTAAATGAATGAAAATTTTCGGCTCGTTGAAGTAATATTTTACTGTAGACAATTGTTACTGACCAATCAAAAGTCATATGTCTACCGTAACCAGGGCACTCAGAAGTCGCTCAGGTGGAAGTAGCACATGCCAGCATCAATCAGCCACCGGTAGAATATCGACTGAGGGTTGCTTAGAAGCAAGCTGATAGCGGGTTCGACTCCTAGGTATGCGTGATTACCAATTTACCATCGAAACGAATGAATATATCACTGAAGGAGCAGAGGGCTTTACCAGTACCGTATTGAATGTGAAAAGCAGAGGTTTTCTAGCACTGTAATCTGCGATTTTTAACGTGAGACAAATACCTTTGTTTTTTTGTTCTTGAACACTTCAAACTGGACGCAAATTTGTTAACGGTTACAACCTAATAACATCAGAAATTGCAGGGCTTTGCATGCAAAGGCGGCGAATTATGCATCGATAATGGCCAGAATATTTGCGCTAGCCGAAGTCAATTATGCATCGATAAATCGCTTACTTGTAACGGTATTCACAACTGCGCTGAAAACGATCACAGCGATGAACAGGACTGTAAGTTATACACATATTTCGGCGAGCTATAACAGGTGCTCCCTGCCTTAAAAACCAACTCCGAAACTATACACTTTGTGCTAATATCAACCAATAAGAAATTTTGGCTCAAAAATCCAGAAAAGCAAAAATCTCTCCGTATTCGCTCTTTATGAGAGGCGGAAACACTCGAAGTGCAGTACAGGTGGTTGCAAATGCAACCACCAGCTGGCAAGGCTGTCGATGGCTTCCTCTTTCAAGGATTGTTTATAAGCAAGCTAATGACGGGTTTGAATCATTGGCTTATGCCAGTGTTAAATTGCTGTCGAAACGAATGAACGAGTCGTAGAGGGATTTGTTGTTCTTCAGCGTAGTTGAACTCTCGGTCTGCTACATAGTAACAGTGCTATTACCATGTTCGCCAGCCTATTAAAATTTACACTTTATTAATTATAACGTGCTATGATGAAGTCGAAAAGATTAATAGCCCAAATATGAGTAAGCGAAGCAGATGTCAGAGTAGCTAACAAGCTGGTTACTAAATCATACTTCACTATTCAAGACTATTGACAGGAATTCAGCTGGACAGCTGACTCATCGAATTATTTCAGCTACTAATAAGAAGGATAACAGGCTTTATACACAGCGAAGCTTACCCTCATGCTTCAACCCATGGCTCAAATTCGATAATGAGGAAAACAGACTTTTTTATAATTCCTTCAAATGATAAATTGATACTGGCGAACGCCAGGAAGTCAGGATCACTCTCAGCTCGCTAACGGAGCGAACTGAAGATATCACTACCAATGAGCAATTGCTTTTAACAGCATTAGCACTGGGACAAATTTGAGAAGAAAGAATGGGGGAGAAAATCCCCAGCAGACTGATCAGTTGATGCAGCAGTAGTCAGAGCAACCGAAAAAGTTGCCGGGAGTTGCAACTATGGAGCCCGACTATAGCTTATCCAAGTATTTCAAATGCCTGCAAATTCGCCCATCACAAACAGCGAAAATGAGCAGGTGTTTCCGAATTTTGACTTCGACCAATAAGGCATCAGTATAAATATTTCAGAAATTTTAAAAGTACAAAGAATGAATACCCCTGATAAGGAGATTGGGAAAGGACGGGGGCCTAAAATCTTCTGTGTGTTAACATATGCAGTTTGTTTGGCATTATGGCCCATCGTGGAGAGGAACGCGATCGAATTTTGGCAATTAATGCAAAACTGGAAGTGTCGTTTAGATCTTCCTAAATAAGCTGGTGAACTACCTAGAGTTTCAGGTTACTCTCAACATATCATCGTGTCGGCGTGCTCAACGATAATGCTCCTAATAGTGATAATAATATCAGTGATATTGTGGCAACGAGCCCGGATCCGGAGACGTGTTGAGAAAAGGAAACGTGAACAGCTGGAAGCAGCTACAATCACTGATAGCAACGGTAAAAATGCAGTGGTTTGGGAGCCAACAAATTGCCGAATAACAGATCTCGATTCGCCAAGCATTCAGCAACATTGCCCCCATCGTAACCTCTGTCAACATCACCACCACCACCATCATCAGCAGCAACAACAACAAAATCACTTCATCCTTCCAGAAATGAATACATTCCGATCAGCACTTTTATGACAGCAATGTGAATTCCTGGTGCTGCCAAACTGGTAGTCACTAAAACAAGCGACGGTGTTCCTAAGCCCAATATGCCTCGGGTAAAAAGCTATATTTTTGTTATTTTGTAATGACTTTTGATCTTCATTTATGCTTATGATGTAGTTAAGTGTGCGCGAAAAACCATAAAAGGTGAATATTTGGAAATGTCAATTGCATTGAGTACCCGATATCGATAACCAATGCCATTTCCCGAATGAAGTAAAAACAGTACATGTTGGACTGTTAACTTTCATAAATAACCCTGGAACCGGCCTTATCAAAAAAAAAAAATTCAAAGAAACTCACCGAGACGATGCAAAAATGCTAGATTTACTTGTAAAACTAAATGATTTAGTCAAAGATGTACAAAGTCAAAAAATATCAAACCCAATTAAGAGATGATTCATTTATTCATCAAACAAGACATGAATATAAAATTTCGAACGTATGCACCGAAAATGAACATTTTCCAAAAACGGCTAAATCAGTGCGAAAACAGTGAAAAAACCGGCAAATACTGGGTAAGTGGGGAACAAAAGAACCGAACGATATTTCTGATAGAAAGACTAAATCAAGTGGAAAACAATATCAAAATCGAAATGCGCTTATTTCTTTCTCGAGAACTAAATTTAATAACTGTAACAACGAAAAAAGGAATTGATATCGAAATAAGCAGACGTACCATCAGTTCAAAAAAAAATCATCTCTAAGGCGAAGTCGGGTAAGAAAATGCCATGTCAGTGATGTTACTGGGATGCTCTCACACATTAGTCGCAGCTGTGCCAAGCCCTTCGATCCTGACTTGCATTCTCATAAACTTCTGTCACTTTTTTTCGTTGCGATCGGTTTTCATCAGTGATTCTATATCTTCCAGATTCCTCACAGCATCCACGGTGAGCACCTCCACTGTGCCATCATTGCGTAGCAGGATGTCATCCTCAATACGCATGCCAATACCTCGGAACTCCTCCGCTGCTTTTTCGTTATCATTCCGAACATAAATGCCTAAATCCATAATTGAACAACGATACAGCTAAATTTTGAGGATTTACGGTATTGTCATAGGACTTATTTTGGTTTGAAGCGATCAATTTCAATGAGTTTGAACGATAAACATGCCTGGTTCAACAGTAAATACAACGCCACGTTGTAGAGGAATTTTGCGAGATACAGAACCAGTGTCGTGAACATCCATTCCAAGATAATGGCTCACATGATGAGGACAAATCTTGTCAGTCTCCTGAAAATATAGCACAATCAAAAGATTAATTTGTTCGCTTTGGTCCGGCACTTTGAGAAAGAGAAACAGCTATTTCAACTTAGTGTACCGCTGAGCGATGAACGATCTGAGCACTTTCTACAATTCCTGTGATCAAAACTCACAAGATTCCATGCAAAAGTGTGCAAAAACACTTGCGTGCATCAGCGAAACTGCGCAAAAGTACCTCACAAGTTAGTTGGTATGCGAAATTATTTGTTCTTTATACTTACCCATCAAGTGCCGGCACATACAAACGCCCTGTCTGACTAGAAAAACTGCGGCCTTCCAACATTACTCTATGCTTATCATGCTCATAGATCCGACATTCGTTATCAGCTGTTAAGTTACCAAGAAACAAAATATAGAAAGGGGGCATTTTTGCTAAGTTTCCGTCTCTTTTGTTGTCTGTTCTCGAAATCGTTCCTCGCCAAAAAATTTGCGTGTTCTTT